GGATGAACACAGGACGGACATTTAAGCAACAATAACGAACCGAAGTACCTTCAAGACACGAACCTGCTACAGTCACTTTCTTCCTTGGCAATTTCCTCAAAAAGCTCGCGTAGCGCCTCGGATGATCTCTGTAATATATATACCATGGAGCAAACACAAGATATTCGAGTTAATCATTGGTATAGTCAAATAACCCCGTGAGGTTCTCCTAGGCAAACGTACATCGGGATTGGATTCCACGCATGCCAGTAATTTTTCGCGGATGCCGCCTGCCTTCGCCTCCGCCACTGCTTTACTGCGAGTGATGGTCTCCTGTCGCCATGAGGATGGTCTTCTGGATCCTGAATGCTTCACCAGAATATGCAGCGCCTGCAATCGGTTCCAGCGCACACCACATCATCACGCTCAGATCCATACTGCACTCTATAAGCGTACCAGATTCAGCTGCGCTACTAGCACATACCTGGACGCTCTCAGGACCAGAGGAGCCATCGGCCGAACGGCGTTTTTTCGTGTCAGACGCAGCGCGCCGGAACTCGCGCTCTTTGGCGTGCACGTGCGAGAGTTTCCAGGTCTTTTCGCCACTCTTGACGTGCAAGAAATACACCTTTCCAGGGCGGCTCTTGCTCTCCACCTCCTTCCAGCCGCGAGGCAGGTCCTTAGCTGTCGTGCTCATACTTGCCGATATTTCGGCTTTACTGGAATTCGGTTGGAATTTATAGCCAATCAAAACGATTTTGATTTGGTTTGCTTAATGCATTACGTTGCTGCACTTAGAGCAACATTTGTGAAAAATGGCACACGTACAAGCAACGTCAGCACATTGCTTGTACGTGTGCCATTTTTCAAACTTCAGCAAGTTTGCTCCAGCCATTCCGAAAAGTTTTGTTGTCTCTCAGCGACTCAGTTTGACCGCACCATCTCTGCCCCTACAAGATGACAGTTTATGCATAACAACTGTGAATTCCCGTTTATCCGGAGCATATGCACTCCTAGATGGCCAAAGACGAGGAATTCTGTGCAATCTTGACGAGTCCAGGCGTGACAAGCACATGGAGCGCTGCTGGATTGGGTGGCTCCGTGCGTAAGTGATTCACGCTGCTGTTTCGCTAGCAGCTCCATGTCGCCGAGCACTGCCTCAGCCAGTCTAACAGGATCATTCTTCTTTTGTCGGCGCAAGAGATAGCAAGCGATCGCTCTCATCGACCCAGACACAACAATCGCAATGGGCTTCTCAGCGCTGTGGCGGACCAAGCCCTTATCGGTAATTCAGGCAGAGGAGATGAAGGAGGACATCCCGCGCACACTCAATCTCTTCGATCTCTGCTGTATTGGTATTGGCGGTACCATTGGTAGCGGTATCTTTTCCACCGCCGGCTCCATCATCTCGGAGACAGCCGGTCCCGCTGCCGTCGTTAGTTGGCTTATCGGTGGCGTTATTTGCTGTCTCAATGCGCTCGCGTACATGGAGTTGTCTACCCGCGTTCCGTCCTCTGGAAGTACATACGCATACGCCTACCACACGATTGGAGAGCTTCCTGCTGTCGTCGCCGCGTGGCTGCTGACTCTCGAGTACGCTGTGTCTGGTGCGGGTGTGGCGCGTAGCTGGGGAGACAAGGTGGAGGAATGGCTACTGATCGAGCACCCGGACAAGAGCTTCCACTGGCTCAACCTGCAGTCTGCCAATCTCAGCGGTGGTCTCATCCAGTTCCTGAGTATGGTGGTGCTGTTAATGGGCGTCCGATTTGGCAAAGCCTTCGTGAACACCGTCACGATGGTCAAGATGGCTGTCGTGGCCTTCATCATCATTGCCGGCTTCGCTGCCATGAACCCGGACAACCTGTCCCCGTTCGTCCCTACACGCTCTGAGCTTGATGGCACCATGACGTTCGGAACGCAAGGCATCATCACCGGCGCTTCACAGGCGTTCTTCGGCTACGTTGGTTTCGATGAGATTTGCTGTCTCGCAGGAGAGGCCAAGAACCCAAAGAAGATCATGCCGATTGCAGTCATGTCCGTTGTGATCGGCACAATGGTTCTCAGTGCGCTCTGCTCCCTGGTACTCGCCGGCATGGTGACTTATCTCGATGCTGGCAGTTTCGGTGATGGCTTTGAAGGTCACGGCTGGAAATGGGCGGGTACCATCGTGCGTGCTGGTGAGGTGGTGACGATGCCCGTGGTGGCGCTCATCGGCTTCTTGGCGCAGCCTCGCCTGAACTACGCGCTTGCTTGCGACGGACTTTTGCCACGTATCTTTGCTGAGGTGGATTCCAAGGGCAACTTGTTCAAGAACACGCTCATCACGGGTCTGTTCTTCACGGTGATTGCCATCGTGGTGCCCTTCGATACCCTCTGGGACATTGTCAATTTCGGTGTTATGATGTCGTTCATTATTGCCAACGTGTCGCTGACTTTGGCGCGTATGAAGCCGCAGTCGCCCAAGCTTTCTCCTATCCTGATCGCCGCGCTCGTTGTGACGGCTGGATGCACGGCCTTCCTGTACCAGGAGGGATACGAGAACAATGCTTCGACTGCGTGTCTTGTTTTCGCTATTATCTTCCTCGTCATCACCGTTGGTATCTCGGTGATTCTCTTCGTCAAGTGCCCGCAGACAGCCAATGCGCCCGGTTTGTTCGCCGCCCCGCTGGTGCCGTTCATTCCGATGATCTGTATCCTTGCCGACTGGTACATGATCGCGCAGATCGACCACTTGGCTCTGGGTCTTAGTTTCGCCTGGATGGCTGTCGGCGCGCTCTCATACTTTGTCTACGGATACTTCCATGCCGAAGCACGCGACAACTGGAGCCAGTTGATGGGTCAGAGCCTTCCCTTGCACGGAGACAGCCTCTCAGCACCCATGCTCTCGGCCAAGTACTCTTCGGTGCAGGACCTCAAGTCCCCCGCCGTATAGGTAGTTCTACGTGGTAAATCGGGGCAGTCTGTCAACTATCTAATTGACTTCTCCCTCGCTAGGTTCTATAATGATTGCAGCTCCGGCAGCATTGAGTTATCTGGTGTGTCGCGCTCCATATGCGTCGTTCTATCGATCTGCAGTGTGTTGCGCTCCA